TGCTCCGCACACAATATTGCTTTCATCTCTCTTGGCACAGTCTCAACATCTGCAAGTGAACATAACCATACCAAACTTTCACTAATGTACTGTCATGGTTTGTGTCTGTATGTCTCCCCAGAGTCTCATGCAGTCATGGGGTGGGCCTGTAGAGTTTTTGACTGATTCATGGTCCAATGCTGGGATTATGGGTGTGAGTGCTACCCATCCTGGGGCCGGTAGCCTGCATATAACACACGGGAGGGAAAGAGGCTTGCTCTACCTGCTCTTCCCTTTTTGCTCTTGTTGCTTTTGCTGTTTTCCAGCCATAAACTGTTGCCCTCTGCCATGTGCCACCCTACCTTCCAGCCAGCTAAGTATGGACTCTAAGTTCCATGAACTATGAGCTAAACAAGCTTTTCCTTCCTTGATTTTGGGTGGCAGGTATTCTGTCCCAGCAACAAGAGAAAAGTAAGCCAATAACCAAATATAAAGGGTCAATGCGAGAAAGGTCTTGCAAAGTACAACTTCCCCATGAACATACAGTATTGATGCATTAAATATATCTCTGTAGTTTAAATGAAATAAGTCAGGTGTTCTCTGAATTTTAAGTGTTTCTATGAGACCCAAATGGTAAGTACTCCATGAAGTACTGAATGAGCACTGAAAAACAACTCCAAACAATACGAAGGCTGACCATTTTAAAAGCAAACATAGTGTTGTACATTTTAAATAATCACACCTTTCATTTGCCTATAAGGTTCAAATTCCCATATATGATCTTTCTTTAGGTAGAATTTATCCTTATGCAATTTTCTGTTTCTGCTGTGGGAAACATTTTCATATAAGGCTGATTTATTGGTGGTTACAAAATAAAATTTAATATTTGTTATGGATAAAAAATATAGCACAGTGCAAACTGGTTTCTAGAACAGTGTTCTTTACTTCATTTTCTTTTTCTAACTGACACAAAATGAAGTCATCTGGACAGGCTGTCTCATGTTTAATACACTATTTAGCACCTTTATTCTGCCCAAGTTTCCAGTCCAGTACCCATGCATGGAAACTGAAACACACCTGAGAATCCTTTCAACTAAGTTTATTTTTCCCCTCAAACAGAAATACTTCAAAGAATCAACAACTGGGATCTCATCTTATTGAAAAGTTTTTGCACATCTAGAGAAATCACCAACAGAGTAAAAAGAAAACCCACAAATTGGGAGAAAATTTTAGCTGACTATCCCTCAGACAAAGGATTTCTATCTAGAATATATAAAGAACTGAAAACAACCAGCTCCCCCAAACTGTAAGACCCAATCCAAAAGTGGACATCTGAGATGAATACACACTTCTCAGATGAAGAAATACAAATGGCAAATAAATACATGAAAAAGTGTTCAATATCATTAGTCATTTGAGAGTTGCAAATTAAAACACTGAGATTCCATCTCACCCCAGAAAGAATGGCTATCATCAAGAAATCAACCAATAACAAATGCTAGCAAGACCGCGGGGGAAAAAGGAACCCTTCTCCTTTGTTGGTGGGAGTGTAGACTGGTGCAGCCACTGGGGAAATCAGTCTGAAGACTCCTCAGTAAACTAGGACTAGAGGTCTCATCCAACCCAGCTATTTCCCTATTGGATATTTTTCCAGGAGAACTACAAACATCATACCACAGCAATATATGTGCACCCATGATTACAGCTGCTCAATTTTTAATAGCTAAATTGTGGAAGCAATCCAAATGCCCATCAACTGGGGAATAGATAAAAAAGATGTGGTATTTTTACATAATGGAATATTACTCAGCTATAAAGAAAGATAAACTTGAGGCTTTCATGGGTAAATGGATGCAACTAGAGTCCATACTCATAAGTGAAATAAATCAGACCTGCATGTGTAAATACTGTATTGTCTCAATAGTGTAAGAACCTGAAAGAGTAAATAAAATCTGAAAAATATAATAGATATTGTGAAAGGGAAAAAAACTGTTCACAGGGAGGGAAAAACTTGGAAGAGGGAAAAGAGAAAAAGAAAGAAGGGAAAAAATATGTATGCATACACACATGCACACACACACAGGATAACTGAGAGAGTCGCACTACCAACCTCTATTGTTTCACTGAAAGGAACAGTTAATGTTTGTTTGATCAATTTTTTTTTTTTTTTTTTTTTTTGGTTTTTCTCCGGTACCAGGAACCGAACTCACAACGTTGCGCCTGCCAGGCAGGCGCTTTTGCCGCTGAGCTAAATCCCCAGCCCCCTGTTTGATCAATTTTAAATGCCTATACTTATTTAACTGAGTAACCAATTTGAAGGAAACAATATGTAATACAATATCTATTGTTAATTTTCTATCACCTTGTCTGAAACTCTGTACTACTTCTATTGTTTGGGTGTTGTTTTGTTTATGTCTGTTTGTTTGTTAATGTGCTTTTGTTTTTTACCTTTTAAAATTAAAAAAAAAAATTTTTTTTAATTTTTTAAAAAAGTAATGGGACTTGGAAGGAGAATAAGGAACAGACGAGGGGAATAGGAAATTTGTTTAAATAATAGAAAGAAAGAAAAGCAGAGAGGGAGGGAATTAAAAATCTTATTTTTATATGGCTCTTAAGAGCTGGACCATGGAACTCTGTTGAACATGAAGTAGAGTATCTCAAGATACACTCTCTGGAAAACAACTCCAGGAGAGGAGATAGCCAGGACCTCACCAGAAGGCCCAGCACCATTACCGATTTCCTTTTACACTCCTACTACAAACTGCCTGTGCTTCTCTTTGCTACCAACACATTCTGCCTTCCGTGACTTCTATGTCTGTCTGCAACACTACACAGTGCTGGTGACACCTAGCACAATAGCTGCTTGACTTTCAGTCTCACACCATCTCCAGTCCTCTGCAGGGTCGGAGCAAAAATGTCTCATTTTTAAGGACAAACTGGTTGGTTTGGTTTGGTTTGGTTTGGTTTGGTTTGGTTTGGTTTGGTTTGAGAGGGGAGGAAGTGAGAACAACTGAGAAAACATACAGTAAACAGGGTTTCAGGTACGCATTGCTATTATTAATATTCATTTAACTCTTCACTATGTGTATTAGATAGTTTAAAGTATTATTTGAGTGAAGGAGAAAATGGGGAGTTGGAGAATGACATTTAAATATTTATGAAAATTTAGTAGTTAACTTTCATAGTAACATAAAAATAATCAGTAAAAATTTTCATTTTCTAAGACCCAGACTAAATTTCTTGTCCCACAGCCAGAATATACTCCTCTTTTATATTACTATCCCTCATTAAACAGCAAGTTGAAATTTACATCATTATTGAAGACATGCCTTCAGGAAAGTTCAGCCACACTTTTGAAACTGTTTAACATTTCAAACTGTTTTTAGAAGTAATGGAACTACACAATGTCAAGTTTGCTCATGATATTGAACGTTGTGATTGCTTTGAGAAGAAGATGCCTGCCTTTATTTATTTCTATCCCTCATAATCCACCCATCCATGCACATACATACACACATATTCACATACTTTAAAACTATGCATTTCAGTGGGAAAGTTCTTAAAAGGTTTACCTTTCCCCCTAGAAATATTAGGTAAGAAAATTACATAAACTTCCTGAGTGAGGAAAATTATCTGTTCTTCTAGAATCAGAACATTTTTAAACAATCAATCATATTTGAGCTATACAGCATCTTTGTTATGCTAATAAACTTTTTCTAAAATATTATTTTTTTCATTTTTCATATAATAGCTTCTGATATAATTCTCACAATCAAAATCACACATAAAATTCATTGTCACTATAAAAATATTCATAAAATGAGAAGAGAAGATAATTTTGATCAAATATAAGTCTACTAAAACCTACAGAAATTATACTATACTATTCAAATAAAATATAATAATATTTGTTCAATTTGAGAAGAAATTTTTTTGACCTCATAAACCTTTTTTGGCATACATCTTTACATAAATATAATTGCATTGGTATTAAAAATGAATGCATTATAAGGGCGAGGAATATAGCTCAGTGGTACAGTATTGGCCTAGGATGTGTCAGGCTCAGGGTTTGAATCCAGAATTGCAAAAGCAAAAATCAATTTAAAAAATAAATGCATTTCAGGGACTAAGAGCACACCATGCAAAGAGAACCCTCCTGTGGAAAGCTACTTTGCTCATTATTAGAAGTACAATGTGCTTTAAATCGCAGGAATCTGACATTTAAAACAGCTCCTCATCACTTTTTTTCACATTTCTCTAGAGTTTAGATCAAAAGCATATCCACGTATTACTACTGAAAGTGTCATCATGGGAATGTACTACTGATGCTACGACCATGAATAAAAAAGTCAAATACAAGTCAAGAGTTCTTTCTCTACACAGCATGAAATTTGTTTAAAAACTTACTGCAAAATGTAATAATATAAATAGATATTTTTCTAATAATTATTAATAATTGCCAAGATTTCAGTATAAGTAGTTTCACAAGTCCATGTGTTAAAAGGATTGGTCCTCATGATGTGGTACTGGGGAAACACTATGATCTTTAATAAATCTTTTCTGTTTATAAGTTATGCCCCAAGGGGGGCTGGGGACTTAGCTCAGTGGCAAAAGCACCTGCCTGGCAAGTGCAAGGCCGTGAGTTCGGTTCCCGGTACCGGAGAAAAACCCAAAACCCAAAAAAAAAAAAAAAAAAGTTATGCCCCAAGTACTTCATTGCAGTGACTTCAAGGTGACAAATATAATCATAAAATAAAAAATAATAATGATTTCTGTTTTTTCTATATGGTGGAATTGTCAAGAATTATTTGCCAAGTTTTTTTGCTAACATCAAAGGTCATTTTTTAAATTTGTTTTTCCACTTCTAATTTAATCTTTTAAAAAGAATAAAACAATTCAAATGTAAGTATGTGTCTATTTTGTAATTTGCTTTCTAAAATGCATTAAATGTGCTTCTTTCATTATGAGCCAGAACAAGTTGGTTCAAAATTAGTCCACAATCAATCTGAATAAGATCTTACCTTCAAGTTTGTTGTTTTTCCTCTTCAGCCATTTCTCTACAGTCTCTGTACTAACACTTTCAGATACAAACTCATCTAACACTTGGGGGTGAAGAGATAGGTATGCCTTCACCTTTTCATCTGTCAAACCTGTAAAAAGAGAATAAATTTATCTCTATGACATGTTGGTCTACACCATTGCACACTTAAGATTCAGTGACCTCCAACCCACTGGAGGGAGCTAGATGGGGAGGTTTCCCTTGAAGAGCATGCAGTCTCTGTTTGGCATTAAGGCAAAGGTTTGGGTGGTTGCACAATGTTGTGAATGTAACTAGTGGCACCAAACTGTATATATGAAATAGTTGAAAGAATATTTCTGTTACCTATATTTTACCGCAATAATAAATAAAGAAGTCTAGAACCAAAACCTTAGCAATTTTAACTGGTAAAGACTACACACCATGTTACATGTATGTTTTCTAAGAGTAAATTTAGGAGCTGTATATGAACCGATTGTATATGAACCGTTGTACTCCACTTTGTGCATTAAGCCTTATACATACTTATTTGATGGTGAGTAGTTATCATAGAGTCACTACCCAAAGGCAAGTGATCAGAAAGGTACCCAGGTATTACTACTGAAAGTGTCGGGGTGGGAAAAGTACTGCTAGTGTTATGACTATGAATGAACAACAGAAGTGAAGAGAACATAGCACAGGGCCATCATAGGTACTAAAAAGTGTTTAATGAATAAATGAAGTAATTCTTACATTTTCTTGCCTTAAAACACAAATAACTCCTTTTTCTCAGGGCCACTAAACCAAATAGTATAATGAATGTTCAGATCAGAATAACCTGGACATTTGTTTATTGTTATTCTATTTAGATAGTCAGTTTCACTAAAATAATGTTCAGTCTAATAATAGCTGTTAAATATACATAAGATTCTCAAAGTAATTTTACATGTTATCATATTGAACATAAAAAAGTGCTTTCAAATTAAAAATACTGAACACAAAGGAGATATCATTTTCTCAGTGGTGACAATTATTTTTATTACTGCATCTTCTCTGTGAATGATTTCAATAAATTACCATCTGTAGGGATGGTTAGGTGGCAAAGGCAACAGGAAATTGCACTTTGAGACATATAAAAGGAAGCAAAACTTTATGACTCTCAACAGTAGGCTGTATGTTTTACCAAACAGACAAACACTGAATTCATATGTGTTAATTAATTCTGTTAGAAACTAAAGTCGCAACTGTTAGGATTCTACAACAGAACAGTATAACTGAGAAGGCAAATGATTTATTTCAATAAAATTAGTATTGAATCAATTTCAACATACACATATCCTATATTAGAGAAAAGAAAAATGGCGCTCATCTCTATGTACCCAGGGCAGAATTCTGGTGGTGTAAGATGCAATTTGAGAAATTCCACAAAATGCTAAAGATGAGACTCGTTAAAGAAAGAACAAGATTGCCTGAGAAAGCCATTAGGTCCTAGATACAAAAAGCACAGGATGTTGAAGTAAGCCAGCAGCAAGCCTGATCTTTAAGAAGACAACACAAATTTCGAATTTTTATGATGATGTCCTACACCATGGAACATATCCCACAAGTGACTTGTTAAAATATTGCCTTACAGTTCTTATCTAACTTTCTAATTGTTCCTGATTTCTTCTTTCTGGCCAATAATTCATGATGACAACATCAAACTTGAAACTGGAATATTTTAGCATATTTTTTCCCCAGGACTTGGATAGTCTTTTATCACCTCAAGATCAGACATGAGACTCAAAGTTAAAGGAGTCTTCCTCTCCAAGATTTTAATGCTCAATTTTCCTTTCACTGTTACAGTTCTCTGCAATTATCCAGACACCCAGGTTGGAAATATAAAGTCATAACTGACTCATCCCTCCTCGCCATCCCATTTCATTTCAACACAATATGATAGGTTTCATTAGCTAAATTACAGTACATACCATACAAAGGACTAGCACTCAACATACACAGTGAACACTTAAAATTCAACAAGAAAACAAAAAATGGGCCAAAGATTTGAACACATAACTCACCAAAGACAATATAGACATGGAAAATAAACATGAAAAGATACTTGTCATTAGTGAATTGACATTAAAACGAAAGTGAGATTCAACTACACACTTACTACAATTGCTAAAGTCTAAAACACAGACAGTGTAAGTTGTTGGCATAAATGTAGAGCAAAAACAACTTTCACTCATTGCTGGTAATACAAAATGGTACAGGTGCTTTGGACGACAACTTCACAGTTTATTACACAGTTGCATGTATTCTTTCTGTATGACCCAACAATCACACAATACTTTATGATACTTGGTATTTACCAAAATGACATGAAGAGTCATGTCCATGGGATAAATGTTTAAGGGTAGCTTTATTCATAATCATCCCAAATCTAGACTCATCCAAATTGTCCTTCTATAAGTCACTACATAGACAAATGGTAATATAGCTATATAACTAAATATTATTTAGTAATAAAAATAAATGCACTAATGATCCATGAAAAGACTTGGATGAGCTTTGGGTTTTGTTTTTTGTTTTTTTTATTTTGAGCTTGTGATGGATTAACTAATGGTCAACTTGCAACACCCAGCTGAACTGAATCATTGTGGTTCTGGGTGTGGAAGGCCCAAATGAGGATTGCTGCCAACAGCATTAAAGCAGAACTGGAGGGGAAGATGGTGTGCTGTTTATTCTCCTGGAGAAGTCTGTCATGCTGGTTTTCCTGATACGAACTCAGCTATTCTCAACATCAGAGGAGCTTGGGTCCACGCTGTTGCTGAGGATGGCTGCATTTCTTTTTGGGGGAGCTCTGGTCCTTACCTTGAGTGTTACTTCCTGGCTCCAGTGTAGATCTCTCAGTCTGCTGAGATCCTTCATCCCACTGGCACAGACTTTCTAGCTTCTACCACTGACCTTTGGGCCTTCCCAGTGCAGATCCTTTATACAGATTTGCATGAGATACTGTTGTGGGCTGTAGGCCTCCAGCTGGTCTCATAGAGGATACTGCCATCTCTAGGTCTTCAGCGAGACTCGTGCAGGACATTGCCCTGGGATGCAGGCCCTCAGCTGGATTCTTTGGGTCTCTAGTGCATGGATAGATCTCTTACACTCTTCTGCATTTGACTTTTTGGGTGAATATTATAAAATAATCCTATAAATTCTGTGTCTTGTATTAAATCTATTCCCTTGTAAACCCTGACTACAACAGACGTAGAGATGGAACCCAGGGCCTCATGCATATTAGGCAAGCACTCTATCAATGAACCACATGCCCAGCTCTGAAATGAGTATGTCTTAAATACATATTATTAAGAAAAAATAAGCAGCTGAAAAGTCCACATATTATATAATTCTAGCTATACAACATTCTATAAAACATGACTATAAACAGTAGGAAGATCAGTACTTGCCAGGGGCCCCAGAGAAGGGAGAATGTTGGAATGAGGAGCACAGGAGATCTTGGGGCAGCAAAACTATTATGTAATACTGTAATGGTGAATAATGACATGTGCATTTGACAAAACCCACAAAAGTATACAGCACGAAAGTAAACTTTAATGCATACAAATTTTAAAACTTCTGAATGTCAGACTTGAAAGTAAAAAATATACATATATATAATGTTACAAATTTAAAAAAAAATCTTACTGGATGGGTTGGGGGATAAGTTGCTTACCTATATTATTTTGGAAATAAGTGAAATCTACAAAGCCAAATGAAAGAAGATTTACATAAGCTTTGTACTCTAGTTGATAATGTTGTCAACTAGACGGGTAGAGTTAATAATTCTGACACTATTGTACAAGCATACTGGAATTAGACAATTCAATAAATAGATGGTAAATGCTAGTAATAAGATTTCTCAGTGATATAGTGGGATGCTACTGATAAGCCAATGTAGAAGTTGTGACTGATTCATGTAGCAATGGATTAGAGTGAGAGTTCCCAATATGAACTCAGGTTTAACTTAAGGAATATTAGGAGATATAGATAGATATTCAAGCTAATATACACATTGTATCTCGCTGTTAGCTGAGACGACATAGAAGCAACAATATCCAAATACCAAGACGCACAGGCAGTAGGCAGAGTATAGTTTCTAATTTAGGCAGAGTATTCCTTTATCCAAATTGTTTAGGATCAGAAGTTGTTCAGATTTGATTTTTTTCAGACTTTGCTATATTTGCACATACATAATGAGACACGTTGGGAACAACACTCATGTCTAAAGAAGAAATCCATGTTTCATATATATCTTAAACACATTCATAGCCTGAAAACAATGGCTTACAATATTTAATAGTCTGCATTTTTAATACAGCCCATTATGAGAAGTCAAATATGAAAATTTCCACTTACAGTGTCAGGTTAGATCTCAAAATGTTTCAAATTTCAGATTTTTAGATTAGGAATGCCTAACCTGCACTATTTTCAAACAAAAGGATCCTTGAAGAAAAGGAGAAAATACATACATTCAGAGTGGCCAGTGATTCAGACCTTGTCACTAGTAATTCATACATGCATCACATGGATAATAATAGATAGCTATTCTAAAGTAACATGCATATTTGACTTTACACATTTAAAAATATTTCAGTTTTGCTAATAAACTAATTTCATGTATGCAAAATTTTTCCAGAGCAAAAAGGTAAAACTAATTAAACTAACTTTCATTTTCAACATCTGGCAGGGATGCTAATAAGCAGGGGCTGGCTTAAAATCGTAAGAGAGAAGAAAAGCACAAGGGTATTGGCAGACTGATCAGACCAAGTTAAGAAGAGCTGAATAAACTTTATTCATTTTCACAACACAGCTGGCAAGTGCCGACTGAAAATGGCATGAAGGACTTAAAACCTAAGCAAAATAAAGACTGAAAAGCATGATATCACACTTATAACTTACCAATGAATACAAAAATATACACCACAAAAGTATAATAAAAGACTGATGAGTATTTTAACAAAACTAATTGCTTTTATAGCTAGCAACTCAGCTGCCAACCTGAGAGACAGATAAGGAATAACTTTACTTGAATGCACATAATTTACTTCAAGAAACAGATTGATAGGCAGGTAAAAGCCACATCAATAGCTC